TTGAAAGGTCAAAGGTCAAATTCACACCAAATGTTTCTGATCGATCGCAATGGTCTGTTCTGACGTGTTATAATTTGCCGTTAGAAATCAGACAAGTCGAAAAACGACCGTTTCTACAAAATAAAACAGTCTTAATATCAAAAAAGTTTAGAAAATACCTGAATATTAATACAATTCCTCTCCTAATGGTATTTTGACAAGTGTCGTCGCTGTTGGTTAACAATTATCAAAATATCAAAATCATTTATTTTGCATCAATTGCAAAACAAGACATAAGCCTTTGTAGATAAGCCTTGGTAATTAGAGGATTCTCTCTATGGAAGATCAACGGAATACATAGGAAAAACCATACTGTTTCCAACGTCTGGTCCGGAAACAGAACCCCGGACGGTTAGTTGTTAGGCGAATGCGTTACCACTGCACCATCCGACCATCTATTTATTCATGAAATTATCTGTATTCCAGAATGTAAAACTTGCTTTACTTGCGCGGGGTGAAGACATCCTTTGATTCACAGAGAATAGAAAAGGTTAGAAAACCTGGAATAATTTGAATACCAAGACGCTCTGTAAGTATTACTGTCACACGATCGCCCACTTGTATTTCAGCGTAAGTTGATGATAACTCACAGCTGTCTTCACTATTTTTAGTTAAATTACGTTACACGCTATAGTTAGGTTACACAAGAAATTATTTAATCCGACGCTCCCGTACGGCAATGCGCCATGCACGTTGTGCCCAGTTATGTCGCATCAGCACGTAATATCGATACATACGTACGTGCTTTCATTTAGTTTCCACAGACGAAAATAAATCGAAATCTTTATCATAACGACATATTGATCTTAAAACACCAATTTTGAAATCAGCATTATCTGTTGTGTCTGGGATTAACGCTCCATATGATTTTTATGAAAAATGTCAAAAAATGTAATAACTATTCATTGTTTTAATTGATAAATTGGAATGCTTTGATCATGATAAGTAGTTTAGTTTTTGTTGTATTTACTACTGACGACTGTGTTGTACGTGATTACGTGTAATTTGAAGGCTACATGATGTAAAAAATATATTCTTCTTTGTTATCGTGTGTCAGAAAAACGATGTTATTTCCGTCATACATTTGATTATTCTGTAAGACTGTGAAAAAAAGTTAAATCATATCCTTTAACCAGGAGGTGTCATATATGGATCAAACTGTACCTTATCACAGTTGTTATGTCATTCGGTGATATATCAGTGTTACCTAGGGCTGTCCAAAGTCAACAGATTTTACAGGTACACTTCACGTCCGGGAAAGGACCTATCCCAGATCTTACTTTCAAATTGTGTTTGATTCTCCTTGCAATGAGATACTATCAACCAACATCCTTTGCGTTCGCTTTCGAATTAAATTCCCAAAACTCAATCGTCGCGAAAGAAGACAGGGATGGTAAACAACAATTGCAGCATTGTATAAAATAATGTTTTCTCGAAATTGTGACAATGAAATTGCAATAGATGATTATATATATTTCAATCCATATCATTGACAAATCGTTAACATCAAGTAAAGTGCATGCACATTTCAGAAAACACTGACATATGCTGATAAGAAATAAATCACTGAATCAATTTCGACCACCGCAGTTAAAAGCAGGTCGGTTTTACTATGAAATTATGCATTTGTCAATTCAACATGTTTTATATATATAATGGAAATCAAAACAGTCACGTTGGCAAATCAACAGTAAGCGAAACAACAACAAAGCAATTATCAAAATGTCAACAGAGATCCGATAAAACAATTGTAAAATAAGAAGATTTTCATGGAGAACATCGAAAAAGTACAATGATAATAAAATATGTTTTCTGAAGCATACATGTCTCTTGCTTCATCGACGAAGCGCGCATGTAAATCTTGGTTAATTATAGTAAATAGCGTTTCGACCTGTATATCGTATATGTACAAGAAAATATAGTATTTGCAAATTTGATCATTCTTGCGACCATGGAACTTCCATATAATCTTTATCAACCTACACCTTGTGTTGCGAGTTATCGACATTTTTTTTATATAAGTGATGATACTGGGTACAAAAGTCAACTGTGGTATGTAACCACTATAGTTTGGGGAAGCATAGATGTTGCTGTCCAGGAAAGAGAAATTAACAATGGGCATATTGAAAGAAATTGTCTCTCATACAGCTAAGTGGGATGCTGTCCTTTTTGCTCTGGTTTAGGGAATGATCGAGGTAAGCGGCTGCTGTCCTTGATATTTAATTCTAACGGGTATGTTAGATGGGCGGGACAAATATCTTTCTTGTTATTACTTTTTCACATTTGCTAAAAAAACAAGAAAATACCAACGTATCGAAAAAAATTAAAATGCAAACTCAAATGCCATAAAACTAATCCAAATATGTGCAAAAGAATAATTTACACGGAGACTCCAAAACAAAAAGCACAAGGACAAGATGACCAGATGTTCTGGAAGAGTAAGCATCTTCTGCTTCATCGTCGACACCCACTATGTAAACCATGTCAATCCAAGTAAGCAATATCACGTTCTCAGATGAAAACAAAGTATACAACAACGGAAAAGGCAGACAGACTTATGAGCATCAAACACGTCAGCTTCATATTGCACAAAGAAATAGTATTTTTCAATGAGAACACAATGAGGACCGTAATACTTTCCCATAATTTTCATCAACCTGTATCTTTTGAAACCCCGTGTTACGAGTTTGTCCGTTAGCTGAAGACTGCTTGCACGTAAATCTTGATAAAGGGAACAGGTCATTATCGAATCAACTGTGACATGTGAACACCATACGTTGGATAAGCAGTGGGGTGTGACTATTCAGAAATGGAACATTAACAAAAGGGAAATTATAATTATTACGCTTATCATACAGCTTGTTGAGACTGTCAATGTTGGCATGTAGGGAAAGATCGCGATAAACGAATGATGTAGAAGAGGTTGTTGTGTTCTCTACTTACAATTTATTATTTTACTGATGACATGGTAACTATGCGGTAAATACTTACAACAACTTGAGTATTATGCTTCAGTTATTTCAAAACACAGTAACACAACAACCATTCACTTTAATGTGACCCTGTGCGCTGTTATTCCAACCGAATGCATTTATTGGTTTTATCGGGATTTGGCATGTATCGGTTTCTTGTCGACATAACAGCCGACCAACCGGAAATTGTTTCGAAAAGATAACAAAGAAATGCTAGTAATTCTCCGGACCTGTTTTCTACCATTTCCGATGTAAATTTCACTGTGGTTGTTATAACTTTGTTGCTGTTTGTGATTCAAGTTCTTCATTCTACTGTTCAATCCATCAGTCAGATATATTGATACAAGAACGGTGCTTTGCACTTTGTACGCTTGTTGTGATGTATGTGTACTAAGACACGATGTCCAATTTACGTTTCTTATTATTTCGATTCCAAAATAATCGATAATCGATGCACGGTCTGGAAAAATACGTAGACGGTATTCTCTGTATCAGCTCAAGCTTTTTTCATTAGTACCGCGTGTTTCAATAACATGTCATAGTATTTCTAAGCGCCAGTCTAGCGCCGTCCTTGCTGGCGAGGTTTTCGTTCCATTTCAGATCTAGCTAGGTGTAATGTCCTTCTGACATGTAATGTACGAGTATACCTAACCCAAAGGGAACCATTACAAAGGCCATCTCGTCAGAATCGAGTATAGAACGTCTAAGCGTCTAAAAGTAACTCGTTTGCATTTACAGCGATATTGATATATGTCATTGTCTGATGTGAATGGCTACCACTTTCGATAACGCACATGCAGATAATGCGAATCTGGATCAAAACAAAGATAATATATACACAGTTAACCAATAATCAATTAATTCAGTTCATGTTGATATTTCCAGACGAAGTGTTCAGGTCAATGCTTACTCTCAGATATCTTCTGCCCGCTCTTCCTGTCTGTCTCGTTCATTTTCTGTCTGTCTCTATCTCTCACATAAACAAGTTTTTCTTTAATATCAATCCAAATAGCATATACCATTAACGTGATGCATGGTGGAGTAAGGTGTGTTTAGGTCTCCTGGCGAATTGGTGGTGTTGGCAGGATGTCTGTATTCAGGCTTAGGGGCAAGGTTAAAGCGCAGAGGACAATGTCTGATTATATAAGTACGGAGAGGTCACACATTAAATTATATGTCTTGAAGAGCAAGAGACACAACGAAAACTACAAGACAACTTCACTGCTAAAATTATTTTAGGTCGTATTAGCGAACAATATTAAAACGCAGAGCCGGGAAATATCTTCAAATTAACACGTAAGCTTAATGCTGATGGATCATTTGAACATTTAACCTTCTTTCTTTTTTAATTGTTCACTCTCAATTCGTCAACGTTTTTTTTTTTTTATCAAGACTTCATAAAACCACAACTCTGGAAATCCGACACACTGCACAGCGTCTTGTAGTATAAATGAAAATTCTTCAATACGTGTTTATGTCGTTCGTTTTTGTAATATGAGCACGGTGCTATGGTCACGTGAATTCCGACTTAATTATTTCCTGTAATGTCCGTTCAATGTTATTGCACTGGAAAATCTCTGAGATGTCAATATTGTATTTGCTTATGGAAGTTAATTAATATTGCTAGAACAGCATGCTTCAACTCATTACATGCTCAATCCGCTAAGGGCGATTTCTTATTAGTTTTCTTAAACTGTTTCGACAATAATATCAAAGTTATCGAGGATTAGAAAAGTCATTGAATATTAAGAACGGCTTCTGAAGACCCGCTGTTTGATTTTTCAATAATCTGAAGTTCTAATTAAGGCGAATTTTAGAACTAATTATCAGGAACAGTTCATTATCTGTTTTTCCATTCAAGTTTTGACTTTGCGACGTTCTAGAGGCATGTATCGATGATAGCTATCAACCGATATATACCGTTGATACGATATATTTTGTGACTTAATCAGTTTACCTACAATAACGTTAACATCACGACCTGGTACCATGGATTCGTATTTTCGAAAGCTATTCACCCAGGTAAGTGTCTCATAGTACCGAGCGTGTCCTTTCCTGTACAACACAACAGAACTGCTAAATGTTTATCATAGTTGAAGTGGATTGGTTTAAAGAATACGATACTGATCCCATCATTATTGTCACTGTAGCAGTGTGAGGTATTACTAATTCGTCGACAAATTTATCGCGAATTCGTTAGACAAGGGAAAAAAATACTAATGCGTTTGTCACCGTGATTGTGCAAAAGACACACAAGTGATTAACACCTCTTAATGCAAACTGGCACCTAAGTGATTAAATGTAGCACCTCTCAATACCAATTCAAAATTAGGTACAGTATTGCCGGATAATTCACTAAACATCAGCTTCTATTTATCTACGATTTTTTTTCTGTTAACAGATGCCAGCTGAAAATGAAGAAAAGTGCAAAAATTCTGGAGAAATTACTGAGGAGCCCTGTAAGTATATGTTTTATAACGAGACAGAAAGTGTATGGCACCATTGTACATTCAATCTCTGATTGTTTCACAACCACCATCTACTTTATGAAAACATATCCGATCAGAGAAAAATTAAGATTATATAACGTTACTTGTATCACACTTCTGTTTAGACATGATGTTTTGTCATTTGACTTGCGGACTCAAAAATACATTGTACTGCTACATTTGCTGTTAAACATTGAGAATTATGTATTTGATAATATAATGATTGAACATGTTTTCATTTTTTTTTTTTTTTTTCGTGTATTTAACTTAGGAAATATCAACGGAAAATATATTTTAAAAGTATATTGTAAAGATATTTAGAGCGTAATACTTTCTAGCCAGCACTACTGGAGAAAGATTTGAACTGGGTGAGAGATATTTGTAGGAATTCGACCAAATGTAATGGATTGAGCTTTAATTGACTGCACATTCATGCATATGTTGTGTATTCGACAGAATCAGGTATATGTATAGGTTAGAAAAGAATTGGTTTTAATTATAATGACCTTAATTTACAAATGTAACAATAATGGGTTGTAATGTAGAAATGATGGGCTATATTATCGTGAAACCATAGTTACTGGTAGTTGTAATACGCTACATTTGTGTGAGATAGAAGTGGGTTGTTAATATAATATATATAATTATGATGACCTACATTAATTTGAGACAGTAGTGGGTTGTTATCATGATGAACAACATTTATGTGAGACAGTAAATGGCTAAAATTATGATGACTCACCCTTATGTGAGACAGTAGTGGGTTGTAACTATGATGACCTACATTTATGTGAGACAATAGCGGGTTGTAATTATGATGAACAACATTTAGGAGACAGCAATTAGTTATAATTATGATAAGCTACATTAAGGCAGTAGTGGGTAGTAATTATGATGACCTACATTTATGTGAGACAGTAGTGGGTTGTAACTATGATTATATACATTTATTTTAGACAGTAATAGGTTGAAATCATGATGAACTATTTTTTGAGACAGTAGTTGGTTGTAATTATGATAAACAACGTTTAAGAGACAGTGTATGGTTATAATCATGAAGATCTACATTTATGTGAGACAACGGAGGGTTGTAACTATGATGACCTACATTTATGTGAGACAACAGAGGGTTGTAACTATGATGACCTACATTTATGTGAGACAACAGAGGGTTGTAACTATGATGACCTACTATCATATGAGACAATTGTGGGCTGTAATTATGATTACCTACAGTTATGTGAGACAATAGAGCGTTGTAATTATGATGAGCTACATTAAATATGCCATGAAGGCTTCGACCTTGACGCTTTCTCTACATACATCATATTGCTAACTGAGGGATGTGTACCCTTAATCAAAATGTACATGTACACACAGCAATTGTAGTTTTTTTTTTTTTTTTTTGTTGCTATATAATTTAAAAAGGACTTTTACATCATGTTTCCTATGGAATTTTCCGTATTCTCTAATCGAAAAAAATGAACCATGCCGATTGTTTTAGGAAGAATGTGGGTCGCGAGCATCCCCTGGTATCGGGTTATCTAGTACAGAAAGGAAAGTCGATATTTTTTTCCGTTCATTATCATACGTATTACGAGTATATTTCGTTATTGATTTACACGATTGAAATATGTTATTATCTTTGAAAAATGTTTAATGATATCTAAATGTTTATCATTACATGTTTGTATTGAGTCTATATTTCATTGAAAATTCGATAAATTTACACAGAAGACATGAAAATGGTCGGATAGTTTCGATGTTACACTTGTCAGCACGACGGCGCCATTTTGAATAGGTCAATACCCGCAGTTTTCTACAATTCAATAGTTTTCTTTTTGTTCTGCATGTAATCGCCTTTATATATAATTATATACTGCCCACATGTTTCCGAAAGCAGTACAGGTCTAACAATACATGTTCTATATACAGATGAAGTGTTGTAGACTTTCGAAAAACCTCTCCCACAGACATGTTTAGAAAGCTAGCGTTAATTAACAATACCGTTGGAGCCACGTGACTCCATGTTAATATCCTGTAATAAACATACAGCATATTGTCGTCATTTTACCATAGAATTGCGTATTGTTCAGAACTGAAAAAAATAAGAAGAAATGGCAGGGACATAGTGATAATTAACGTGGATTGAGACTTTAATGGCTGCCTTTGCTTCACTGAAATATGTTCCATCGATACCGTTTGATGTCCCCATGTATATTTGTTGACAAATATCGAAAGGTAGGTTGAGTTTTGTTTGTGTAATATATACGTAATTTGGTCTCTGTTTTTTATATTTCTGTGATGTAAGTACCTAGGTACATTTTCAGTAACACAATTAACAAGCTATTCGTCCATTAATTAAATGTGTACATGTACATGCTGGAATACTGGTGAGGGCACAAAATTGTCGACGCCATATCTTGAATAGTCAGATATATGTAAATACTTCATTTGTTTATATATTTTTGTGTGATGTAAACGACACCGGTGAACTTGAATTATTATAATATATCACATAATATAACGTCTCTATGTAGCTGTAAATATGAATTTAAAATGTATATCAATAGATATGTCATTTTGTAGAATATTCTTTTCAGCAGAATAAAGTGTTTAAGGTAAATTCGCCGTACATTCTAGATTATACGATATTATACGGCATCCATGTAACATCACAATGTACACGACCAACGTTAACAAAGAAACATTGAGGTATGCTTTCTATTTGGTTTTTATTGAAAATCAATGACATGTGGCGTATGATGGCAATGTACATGATCCAACGCAATTACAAATTTCGACAGAAACCATTGTAATGCAGTTGGATTGTAATATTATCAGCTATAAGTGTCCGTGAACTTCCGAAACAAGTTGTTTTAGTCATCAGTCTCAACATCCACGTGTTATTTACATGTAACTTTGGTTGTTTGAAGCCATCACAGCTAATTGACGACACAAAATGGTTTATCGTCTTTGAATTAAGGCGGTCTTATACTCCATCGGAATACTCTGAAAGGACACTTAACTGTTATTTTAATTACCATGGCTTTGAACAAAGTAGGTATATACAACCTTGTATGTTCAGCGGAAGGACCGATTCACTGGCATAACACGTGAAAATGAAAGTACTGTACTGTACTGTACCGACATTGATGAAGGTTCCGTGTTGACTAAATTTCTACAGAATAAATCTCAACATGTTGCTATTTCATCGCATCAGTATACTGTTGTCTACTTATATTTCATTTCAAATCAATTAATTGAATTAAAGTTAAAGATCACGTTAGCGAAGATACATAGTGTTAAAAAACAAGCATCGGATGAAACATATACTTGTTCATTCAACTTTGTCGGAAAAAAGAAGTGTACTTAAAGCAATTTCTCGGATGTTTTACAATAGAGTCAACCAGAACGAAAACATGAAAAACAACATTCAACGCATTGCCTCTGTCGTTGCCAAATTAATGAGTTAGTCTCCACATCATATGCCCAGTACCGAGTTCGGCAATCATGGACTTTGTTTAGTCTGCTGGTTGTCCATATGTCGGGAACGGATGCAGACGTGTTTGACCTCGAGGAACGTCCCGGAAGGGGCTCTCATCTGTTATGTTCCAGGCATAGATGTGTTTAGTTGAACTTCCTACATCGTGTGTCATAGACGATAATTGTTTAACCAAACTCCAGTCTGCAGAGTAGAGAGGCATTTTGCTGTAAAACTCGACTGTGTCGAAAGGATGCGGCACCATCATGCATTTTTCAGATACGTCTGCAGCCGTTATAATGAGTATGAGCAAATAAGTCTAACTTTACTTGTCCTTGTCTTCCATGACAAAAAAAAAAATCGAAAATTAGTTCGAGGCTAAAAATAAGCCACACAGAATTTCAGTAATAATGTGACACTCCTGTCTTTGTCGTCTACAAATACTATTGTCTTCTGGAAATACGGGAGAAAATATGCTTTTACGCTTTGTATAAATACAAGCACAATTAAACATATCACAATTTCACGGAAAACATATCACAATCACACGTAAAAACACATCACAATCACATGTAAAACACATCACAATTACACGTAAAACAGATCACAATTACACGTATAAACAGATCACAATTACACGTAAAACAGATCACAATTACACGTAAAACAGATCACAATTACATGTAAAACAGATCACAATTACATGTAAAACAGATCACAATTACACGTGTAAACAGATCACAATTACATGTAAAACAGATCACAATTACATGTAAAACAGATCACAATTACATGTAAAACAGATCACAATTACATGTAAAACAGATCACAATTACACGTAAAACAGATCAAAATTACACGTAAAACAGATCACAATTACATGTAAAACAGATCACAATTACATGTAAAACAGATCACAATTACATGTAAAACAGATCACAATTACACGTGTAAACAGATCACAATTACATGTAAAACAGATCACAATTACATGTAAAACAGATCACAATTACATGTAAAACAGATCAAAATTACACGTAAAACAGATCACCAATCAGATCACAATTACACGGAAAAACAGATCACAATTAAGTGTAAAAAAATAGAATTTCGCCAGAACATATCACAAAAAACTATACTACAATTAAACGTAAAAACGGGTCATTATTTCATATCAAACAGATCGTTAAAACAGATCACAATTACACGTAAAACAGATCGCAAAAACAGATAATTTAAAACTGATTATAATCACACGTAAAAACAGATAATTTAAAACTGATTATAATCACACGTAAAAACAGATAATTGAAAACTGATTATAATCACGCGTAAAAACAGATAATTTAAAATTGATTGTAATCATACGTAAAAACAGATAATTTAAAACTGATTATAATCAAACGTAAAAACAGATAATCAAAACCAGATTACAATTGCATGTAAAAATATCACAAATTTGAACTTTAAAGTTCATGAGTACCTTTCCTGTTATGTATATTTTTTCTCGTGACTTTCATATCCAGCTATGATAAGTACAAATGTATATATACTATAAACATCGTTAATAGACTTCTTGCTATTTTCATGTACATTCATTCTTACTAACGACTCACATCATACATTATAAATTGTGAATACTGTTCGTCCGTGAAAGATACATTGTCCATTTCTGAATCTTACTTATTATTACTTAACATATATTTTCATTTATCACGCATAAGATAGATACATATAAATGTATTTTCTCACCCATAGTGGACAGGTGCATCTTCATGTTTTAGTGGTGTAGGATTTTGATTGTCTCACTCTAGGTTTGAGACGAAACGATTCTCGAAACGATTCTCCTAACATAACTGTAACGTCAAGTAAGCAACACAAATAATTTGGATAACAACACAAGACGTCTATAACAAGACCAAAAGGATTATAAAAATAAAATATGCATTCTCCTACTATTTGGTGAAATAGGAAGTCCGAGATCTCAGTCCTTCTCGTATTTTGTATCTGTACCTGTATCGCTTAAATACCTTTACAGTCAGTGTCAAACCTTTTTCTCTCATGCAGTTACCATACGAATACTTCACCCTAATCATGCATTTATCATTCCTATACGATAAATCAATTTATTTACAGGATGTGCCCACTTTTACGTGTGGAATACGGTTCATACAGTTTGCTCGTGTTTGCATCGTACACGTATAATGTCCATCTTTGTGTATCCAAGATAAAGCGACGTACGTTCTCCCATTTGTGCCATACAGAATCATACATACTGTCCCCTTCTGTTACATACCTAGACATTACCATCGTCTGTGCCATACATACTTACAGACGTTTTCTACGAAACAGGATATTGTCGCAGTGCGACATCTTGCATTGGTAGTGATGGATAGGGATGCCACGTGGTTTAATGGCCGAAGTTGACATACATCATGACCCTATCTCTTAGCTAAATGAAGCTGTTTTCTGAGATTTTAACATCAGCCTTCTATCCTTCGGCATTAAAGTACATGCTAGCACACGAGCTGTCTAAACGAAAGGCAACCAAATCATTTATCTACACGAACAAAATTGATTTCGGCAATGTGGTCAAATAGCGTCTGCCTGTCTCCGCATTGACCGTAGCACAGGAAATCTAATGTATCATAAATATGCTGTTTCACGCGTCTCCCGTCTTCATTTTTGAGAAGGGAGAGGCTAGTTTCGGGAATGGGAAACAGGATGACTTGAAAAAAAAACATAAAAAGAGAAAAGAGGCTGGTACGGAAAGATATATTCAACACATGGCAAAGATTGGGGGAAGTAAAAAGAAGAATTCGTTTTTACACGGGGTTTTATTTGAATTTGATCCTATTAAACCTTCTCGTAAAAATCCACGTGCCTTTCGATAATCTCTCATCGATATTGCTACGGATTACTCATAGCTCATGAATAAAGACGCCACATCGACTTTCAATTTGTGTAACTATTTTAAGAAACGCAAGCGTATAACTTAATTAGGGGTGAATGCACTATCATGTCATTTATATTTTCCTACAGTTGCAACTTGAAATTAGAAATACAAAAAAACACTATGAAGAAAATTAATTTAAAACGTGTCGATAATAATGACTGGCTTATTGATATTCGGTCCGAAAATGGGGCATATCAACAAATTTTGGGATCTATATGTCTATGTATACAAATTATTAATAAATTTGAAAAGCTTTTGGTACAATTTTGACGGTGAAGGATCAGTAATGCGAAGTCTTGCTTCATTTCCTGTAGTATCATATTGGAGTTTTCTCCCCTGTAACGAGAACTTTGTTAATGTTTAGTGCGTGCATCCTCCAAGGAAACATGAAGCATCGAAAATAAATCACCTCTGATGAAGACTTATGACTGAAGACACTGATTTAGTGTTAAGTCTTTAATGAGAATATGACAATCTACTGGCTTGTACTGCTGTACTTGATGTCTTTATGGGAATTATAGTTAACAGTGCCTGGTACCTTTTAGCACAATTAGCATGATTTATTGGTCCAAACATCTGGCTTTCGGCTGTCTTTCGGTCAAATATAACGATTATAGAGAAACTCTTACTTTGTTTCGTAAACACTGAAAAATCATTTTGTTGTTCTTTACATTTGAATGAAATAAAACAAAACACCTCAGTTACCAATCCAGAGAACAAACTTCCAGGTACCAATCCTGAGAGCAACCCTCCACGTACCAATCTTCTTAGCAGCAAACCTCCAGGTATAAATTTTGTGAGAAACCCTATAGGTAAAAAAATCATGTGAGAAACCCTCCAGGTAAAAATCTAAATATTTGAGCAACCATGTGGTTACCCATCCTGTGAGCAACCTTTTAGTATCAATACTGTGTGCAACCCTCTAGGTGCTAATCCTCTCAGCAATCCTCCAGGTACCAGTCCTGAGAGCAAACTTCCATATACCAATCCTGAGAGCAAACCTCCAGTTACCAATCATCTGAGAACCTCACCTGGTTCCAATTCTGTGAGCAAGCTTCCACATACCAATACCCTGAGCCGTAAACCTTCATGTACAAAATCTTGTGAGCAACCCTTCAGGTAAAAATCTTGTGAACAACTCTCCCAGAAACTAAATATTTAAGCAACCATGTGGTTGCCCATCCTGTGAGCAACCTTCTAGTACCAATATTGTGAGTAACCCTCAAGGTACCAACACTGTGAGCAGCCCACCAGGAACAAAATATATGAGCAGCCCTTTATGTACCACTACTGTAAGCAACCCTCTACATATCCATGCTGTGAGCAAACCTTTAGGTACCAATTCCGAGAGTAAACGTCAATGTACCAATCCTGAGAGCAAACTTCCAAGTACAAATCCTGTGAACAACTCTCCATTTACCAATCCTGTGATCTCCTGTCCATTTACCAATCCTGAGAGCAAACTTCCAGGTACAAATCCTGTGAATAACTCTCCATTTACCAATCCTGTGAACAACTCTCCATTTACCAATCCTGTGAACAACTCTCCATTTAACGATCATGAGAGCAAACTTCCAGCTACAAATCCTGTGAACAACTCTCCATTTACCAATCCTGTGAACTCCTCTCCATTTACCAATCCTGAGAGCAAACTTCCAAGTACAAATCCTGTGAACAACTCTCCATTTACCAATCCTGTGATCTCCTCTCCATTTACCAATCCTGAGAGCAAACTTCCAGGTACAAATCCTGTGAATAACTCTCCATTTACCAATCCTGTGAACAACTCTCCATTTACCAATCCTGTGAACAACTCTCCATTTAACGATCATGAGAGCAAACTTCCAGGTACAAATCCTGTGAACAACTCTCCATTTACCAATCCTGTGAACTCCTCTCCATTTACCAATCCTGAGAGCAAACTTCCAGGTACAAATCCTGTGAATAACTCTCCATTTACCAATCCTGTGAACAACTCTCCATTTACCAATCCTGTGAACAACTCTCCATTTAACGATCATGAGAGCAAACTTCCAGGTACAAATCCTGTGAACAACTCTCCATTTAACGATCATGAGAGCAAACTTACGGGTACAAATCCTGTGAACAACTCTCCATTTAACGATCATGAGAGCAAACTTACGGGTACAAATCCTGTGAACAACTCTCCATTTACTAATCCTGTGAACAACTCTCCAGGTACCAACACTGTGAACAACTTTCCATACAGATAACTATAAATAAGTGTGATAACGATTTGAAAATAAGTGTGGTGACCGAGTCTTTGAAATGCTTGTTTGATATTGTACTTACAAGGATATGCAAACGATTTCTATCACGAGGTCATCAGTAATACGTGAACAACTCGTATGTGACCTGTAATCCTCAATGATATGTACACGAGTCTATGATCATGTACACATAATGTGTGGCAGTTCATTTCGGATCGTGTTGTCATTACTATTTGGACATTGTATTCATATGGCAAATGCGTTTTGTGTCGTAAGTTTATCAGTCATGCTAAAACTAATCACACAGACACACTGACTTTAAACGTCTACTAAAATTTGCCTTTTTTTCATTTAACAATCCATCGGGATGCGAAACATGTGCCTTGCTGACAGTCAACAAATTTCACAAATATACAAGGTTCACATATGTATGTACATTTCATGGGGAGCAGGTGTGAACATTCCTGACTCATTTTCGGAAAGTTTCACCAGTCATCTGTTTTAAAAACCCAAACCGCCCGTATTTCATGTCGGACAATGGTACTGTGAATCGGCAAATTATTTTAAAGTGTGAAAGTTAAATGTATTAGTGAAACTCTTTGATTACATGATATAAGAATTGGCATAACTATCCCCACAGCTGTTCGTACTCCCGTCCTGCCTAGTCTCTCTCTATTCCGTCATGGGACTGGTCTGGAGTGGTCAATGCTGCTGACACCGTACTTGAATGCGTTGTCATCACTAATAATCGTTATGTCAAAATAATGACAACGAGTTGTTATTATTTATAAACTAGATTAAGTCAATATATGTCAACGTAAACTTAAAGAAGAGCTCTTCTTTATGGAGATAATAATGTTTATTAGTATTCAATTGCCCCTGTAGCATTGGTAAATGGAGATATGCTTCTTTGTACCCGGACGCCGTGTCTGTTTATCGCTCGTTACAGCCGCCTCGGCTACTGAAGCAGAGCTTGGAAGGGTAATTTGGTAAGATGGACACATGTTGATATGCATTGCACGTAGGGATAACGATTCCTATAAAAAGAGGACGCATGAGAAACATTGGTTTATAGAATGATTTAACGATAACTGAGCGAATGATCGACCATGTATAATGTGGCCACGTTTTGACTTGGCAAGGATCTATTAAGAAGCCTAATAAAAACCGCAATCTACCAAGAAATGTAACTTCTGATTAAGGAAACCTAATACGCATATACGTGGACAACATGGTGAATATATATAAACAAATCAACGAAACTTAAACTGAAACTCAAGAGTGACATCAAATGCTTCTGATTGGCGTCATTGTGTATGACTCTGGACATTAACTTCTTCAAAAACAAGTATATATCTTCAAGACATGCATGAAATGCCTAATTTATCCAATTTTGCCCTTTCTTTCAAAAACGATATATAACAAATATGTTAATTCCTTGCAATTACAGCTTGAAATTGTCCTTTTGATTCAGTTGCACGAGTTTAAAATGATCGACAATGGAAATAAAAAGATGTTTTATTTTTCGTCAAAAATCAATCATTAGAAAATGTATAAAGAAAGTAATCGGTGCATTGCATGCTGTACAAGTAACACTATTTTCACATACTAGGAAGTTTAAAAAGCTACAGTTATTTCCCTATTGAAAACCAAGGATTTCCATTGGTTGATCATTTGTGACGTCAATTCTGGTACTTGATACGTGTTTGTTAGTTTCTAAGGCCATGTACATAAAACCAACTGTATTAAAAAAAAAAAAAAGCAAGCGCAACAAACGACTACAAGGCATATTCCTTTACTCAAACATAAATCTCTGGATAGCTAAATGATATGCAATTATGATTCAAGCTAGTTTTCATTAATCTTATAATAACCCCTGAAAACACATTGTACAATCACTGCTGAAATAACATCGATTATAAATCTGCCATATTATACGAGTACCGGCTGGCAGATTTGCAAATAGCAGAAATGACGTCACAGCGTTGTGAAACCCGGGATCCCAGGACGCGATAGGAAATAGCTGAAGCGTGGAGAAGTAATTAAACTCGCCTGCGACACATCGAGAGGTATCAATATATGCGTCAAAATATGGAGACATGCAAAATATCTTTTAGATACCTTTAGGTTTAGTGAAGGAGAATTCTACGTAATGAATAATTTCCCCACCAGAAAACACACTTGGTATTACATTTACACGAAATATCAGTCACGGGCCCTGGAATGTCCTTCTTAACCAAACGTCATTGTGGATTTATAAGGATTCTTTCATTCAAATGTTTCTTTTGTAAAAAAAAAAATAGATTTCAGAAAGCAGCATATGATAAGCGTGATGATTTTTGTCTCATTATTGTGAACTTTCCATTACTGGGTGACAAAACCATGCGTCCCCGACCGATATTATTTAAATGTCGGCATCTGACAAATCCACAACGCATGGATTCGGGAATTCTGGTGAAATATGATTTTGGGAAAGTTTTACGGTTGCAATAGGGATCTCATAAAGAAATAGGCTTTTGCTCCGTGCTATATGAAGCTGGACCTATTTGTTGACATCGTTGGTCATTGTTGCTTACTTACTCTATCTATTTATCTATTTTTTATTTGTGGACACTTGGTTTCGTTGATAAATAAAGTCCAACAAAGCTACTAATCCTTATTGTAAAAGCTCGTGGACATAGTCCATGGTTTAAATCTACCGATGAAATCATCGAAAATAAACATTCCACGAAAATAAAGTATTAGACAGTATAAACTGTATAAATGTGATACTTCATAAATAGTTAATTTAATTATTTAGGACAATGTTATATCATTACAAAGGTTGGTTGGTAGGATACGTAGGTAGGTAGGTATGTAGGTAGCTAGGTAGGTAGGTAGGGTAGGTAGGAAGGAAGGTAGGTAGGTAGGCGGGTAGATAGGCAGGCAGGTAGGTAGGTAGGTAGGTAGGTATGTGGGTAGGTGGGCAGGCAAGTAGGTAAGTAGGTGACAGCAAATATCTAAATCCTGATATACGGAAGTCCTGTAGTTTTACAATATACAGACCGGGATGACTTGTTTAAAGGCATACTTCTTTTTCTCTGAGACTGGGAAATGTTTTTAAACAATGGTCAGTACTAGGAATTTTCTGGAAGAAGGAAACAGTGACGAGCTATGACGCATACTAAGCATACCATTACACAACGCCAAGGAACTATCTTATTGATTAAACCGCTGCTTACGTCTCTCCTGTAATTTGGACAGTTATTTCAGATTCCGAGACCCATTGATCGATGTTTATTTATGCAGGAGTTTTATCTCGACAGTCTTTTTTTTACATCAATTTGAGCTACTGTCCGTTTGAGAAGCGTTAAATACCCGAACTTAACATTCATTTATCGTAAAAAATTGATGTGATTTTTTGGAGAACCGGTTCTGGTCAGATTCACTGTTATATACAATTTTTGTATAACGAGAGGTCAAATTGAGTTTAAGATGTAGTAATTCCAAAGGTCACAAAGTTATTGTGCAGAATGATGTTCAAGTTATGTATTTTTTTCTAGAAAAAATATTTAAGTGCATAGTATCAACGAAGACACCGAAACACAGCAAAACTCACTAAGGTCTTTGTAAACTGTTTTGATGGGCTCCTTAAAGAACCAGACCTTGTATGAAAACAAAGTATTTCAGTAAAGATAATTATAGTTCGATATAATGGTTATGTCATTCTTCTGTTGGAAGATCTTTCTACCTGAAATTCGACTCTTGTCACGATTTTCACCCTAATTATTCATCTTAAAGGGTTTTCTATATACTTTTCCTGAAATATCCTCCAATATATTTCACAGCCGTACAATTATATAGCCATTCACCTTTCATTGAAAACAATTTTTCTCATAAACAAAGAGTATACTTGTTCATTTTCAAGACAAAATACGCGATTGTTTAATCCAACAGGCGAGTTAGTAATAAAGCGTTGTTTATAAAGAAACACGGGAAGATTATGAATCCAATATAAGAAATTGGGGATTGAATAATAGGCAATCTAATTTATCATAAAACTGCCAAATTTGTTTTTCATCTTTGGCAAGATTCGATATTGTGTGGTTTGAATTCCCAACGTTATCGTAAGAACATATTTGGTTTTGTATTAAGAATTTTATGAGTTCTCAAGCAAGGATTGAGTTATTACAATATAGATGCTGTCTGCAGTCATAATCATTTATCCATTCTGCAAATCCTGAACTGGGGTTTTGAGATCATATCTAAAGAACATGGACCATAATGTTGTTTATATTCTATACCTTTATCTGTTTATGACTTTACCCACGACAGATCGAAAGACTTTAATCCAATCTGAGCGTCAAACCACCACAGCTTACTCTCATTCTACTCAACCTCTGTCATAAGTTTTAACGTAATCCGTAAGCATACTGAAATGAATGGAAGGAAATTCACATCCCAGTTGATAGAATATATAAAACATAAAGGCTTACCACAGAATATGTAAACTATTACCTTAAAACATTACATTCATATAAATGCGAATGATAAAGAATCTTGTTTAAAGTTATTGAACTTTCTGCTTCGAGAGCAACTTAAGAAGGTGCTCAATTATTGAGGGCCTTTATTTCATTGCAATTAAAAAAGGGTTGTATTCATATTTTCACACAAGTAAAAAAAAAAAAAAAAGAATAAGAAAGTATTTTGTATTTAGGTAGTTCTTCACACCGAAAATTTAAAATCACTTTTTTAAAACAGCGATGGACTACATTTTTATATTTCAAAGCACATTGAAACACTACGAGAGGTTGTGTCTTGGTGTTTCTTTCTTCCTTTCGTCTATTTTGTTCATCTGTTTTTTATGTACATATAATCACTTTTATATCGAGTGCTTTCTCTTCCTCCCTTTTTAAACACGCGTTTGACTGACAGCTCTGTTCAATTATATTTGATTAAATCTGGTTTTGATTAGAAAGATGATCCCACATCCAAACGGGAAGTCGTATATTATACGTAGACTA